TATGCGTGTTACACGTATGTATGCGTTTATATACGTGTACAAAGAACGTAATGTATGCCTATACTTGCTGCACAATATGTAAGGCTAGCAATTTTAATTAGATAATTAAATGAAACGACCTTTTCGAAAATTTGTTCCCATCCTCTCAATACCAAAGGGATATGTCGTAAAACTTTCCCCTAATTCTATAAAATTTCAAATTAGATTTGATTAATTACAATTTCGTAAGCGATAAAAACATCGCCTCAAGTGCGACAGTTATTCATTTTGTTGCTGATCGATTAAGCTTTAATTTGAGATCGATTACATTTTGATCTAAGTACATTTAATGTTGCAACATTAATAATTTATATCCAATTGATTTTCCTCAGTTACTTTCTTTTTTTTTTTTTTTTTCTTCAATTTTCATGCATAATTTTCGAAAAGTTTTTTATCTTGGGAAAAAAAAAATTTTGTTTTTAGCAAATTATTTCATTTTCAGGTCATTTGACAATTTCCGTCCTACAGATTCGATGAATAAATCTTTCAAATCTTTCCATATAAGATATTTTAATAATTTAAACTAAAATTTCCAAAGAAAAAAGGGGAAAAAAATAGAAAATATCATAACTGTATTTAGCTTTCTCATATAAAAATTAAAAAAATGCCTCAAATTATCATTGCTTCAACTAAAAATTCAACATTTGGCCATTTTGAAATGACACAAGAATTCACAACAAATATGGTGGCTTTTAACTATGATACTTTGGGCGACTATATATTAATAAAATCAGAATACAGAATTCGGAAAAAATGATCAGTAAAAAAGTATTAATATCAGACAAAAAACAAAAAAAAAAAAAAAAATCGGAGTGAATAAGTGTGAAGACATTATGTGGGCAAAAAAAAAAAAAGTGAGATAAAGAGGGAAGCGTGAAGTTGGCTAAATTAGTGAAGCTGGGTAAATTAGTGAAGCCGGGTAAATTAGTATATATGCTAAAATTGAAAGAAATGAATAAAGCAAAAGCAGCAGCAGCACTTTACCCCACAAATTATTATTGTTATCTTTTCGTTGACCGAAATGTTTGGGTAAAAGCAAATCTATCGTGGCGTACATACATACAACTCACAGGCAACAACATACGCTCAGACAGACACTCACATATACTTCAACAGACACTTGGATCAGCCGATACACCACACATACACACACACACACACACACACACACACATACGTACATACATATATCTGGTTCTATTCAATTCTTCATTTCCAAACGTCTCTTATAACTTCATTTCTGCCTACCTCTATTCTTCCCTCTTTCAATACCCGCTTTTTCTCTTCCAATTTCTCCGATCGTTTTGCCTGCTTACTCATTCTAACCAACTAACCAATCAACTAATCAACCAAGCCAAACCGATCAACCAATATCAACCAAATCAACCGAAACCAATCAACCAACTAACTAACTAACTAAACGAAACGAAACGAAACTAACCACCAACCAATAGCAATAGCAGCAGCAATAAAGTCTAGCAATTTGAAAAGTTTTCGAATCTGCTAGAAATTCAACTCTCTTCTTATCGCCTTTTTTCTTTCTTCTTCCCCTCCCCTTCCCTCTTTTCCCCGCTTCCTCTTTTCAATATTCTCCGCCCTTCCTCTTGTTGAATTGCCTATGTTCCATTCATTTCTTGTTTTACCTTTCCTACACCTCTTCTTTCCATCTTCCAAATCAGCATCATTTTGTTCACGAATTCGGGTATACTTTGGTTTGTTTGGCAGTAGGAAAAGGATGAAGGAATTTATGGGTATTGGGTAGAAGACTGATGTTAGGTACTGCTAAGATTAGGTGGAAAAGAAATAATAATAATGGTAGATTAGAGTAGAGATGGGATAGGATAAGATGATAACAAAATGGAAGAATACGGGAAAAATGCCAGGTTAATTAAACACAATTTAGCTTCATTATTACGTCTACAATTTTTTTTTTCTCTCTTTTTTTTTTTTTTATCATTTATAAATTTAATTTCCGTAAACCCGTTACTTTGTTTCTTTTTTCTCTCTCTCTTCCTCTTTCAACCTTTCCTGAATTCACCAATTGAATGCATATGTTTATGGATTAGAGGAATGCGAAATTTACGAAGGTTACAACTTACGCATTTTCTATTATATATGTTACCTTTCTCTGTCAAAATTGTCAGATTTTGTTGAATTTGATGACATCAGAATAACCTGTATGATAGATACCTATTTTATATGATAATGCATAGGAAATATCAGCAATTGTTATTGAATAACATTGGTAAAATTTGTATTCTTAATAGATTGATCGATCGAGAATGTTAATCATTATTTGATTATTTTGTTAGCCTATTTTTCGTTTTTTTTTTTTTTTTTTTTTTTTTTTTTTTACATCCATCGATTGAAATTTTTAACATTTTTAGCAATCCATAAATTCATTGATTTATTTTATCTATCATTGTGAAATTATTGAATCTAATTTATAAAAATAAGTCGTACAATAAATCTATTTGTAATTTTTATCACTATAATATCATTAACAATAATTAGTTAAAATTCTACATTACGAGAGAGAGAGAGAGAGAGAAGAAGAAGAAAAAAAGCAAAAACTCCTATATTAGCATTCAAATGATCAGATATTTCTTGTATAATTAATAATTTCTTTTTCTATTAATTTTTCAAACTAAGCTAATGAATGGAATATTTTGATTAATTATCAAAATAAAAAAAAAAAAAGAGTGGTACCTTAACAAATTTAATAATTTTTAATACTTTTTGCATTATGGGGGATATATGTATGCGAATGAATGAATGAATGAATCAACATACTGATGACCAGTGGTGCTGGTAGTATGTTGTAAGCATGCAGTTTCACGGGATATATGTGTATGTGTGTGTGTGTGTGTATGTTGTGTGTGTGTGTGTATGTGTGTGTGTGTGTGTGTGTATGTGTGTGTGTGTGTGTGTGTGTGTGTGTGTATGTGTGTGTGTATGTGTGTGTATGTCTGTACATCACGTTTTATATGAGAAGAAACTTGAGCAAGTGAGAGGGAGAGAGAGAGGATATACAGCTGGTTAGGAGGAAAATTTTAAAGGAACTATTGAGGAGTTTGAGTGAAATAAATGCGGTATTGCAAGGATCACTTACAAACTAATTACCATTACTATTTGTATACGTATCCATCTATTTCGGTATGCATAATAAATTAGTTGGGATAAAGTATATATATATATAAAGTAATTAATTAATAAAATACAAATATAAATATTTACTTTGTTCATTATTTTTTATTTAATAATTTTAAAAGAAAAAAAAAGAAACTTATTATGTTTTGTTTTTTTTTTAAGTTGTCATTGTTTTCATTATCATTACATTATCATAATCAGAAATTACGATATTTTTTTTTTTTTACTTTTTTTATTTTTAGATTTCCCAGTCATTTTGTTTTAGTACTTGCAATCTTTCTTTTTTTCCTGTTCAATTTGTATTTTTTCTTACTAATGAAGTGATATTAAATTAACTGATAGTAATTTACAAGTATTACGATAATATGAATCCATTAATTTATCCACTGATTTTTTTCTTCCTTTTTTTTTTTCTTAAATTGTCATTTATGTACTTATTGATAATTTATAACATATAATTAGTAAAGATTAATTAAATCAAGAATAAGTATGCATTATTGTTATTTTTATTTATTTATTTTTTCTTTTTTTTTTTTTTTTTTTTTTTTGAGGTATTATTTCAGTTTGGTTACGATATGATAGCTATTAAATATTAATGTACGCCTGGAGGGGGCATATTTTCCGGAAGCTTCATCCTATTCAGTCAGCATAATTTTCTTTTCATATAATAAATGAAAATTTGAAAAATAGGTATTGTTTGATGTGTATGGGCAAGTATCGATCCATAGGGAAGGTTATTGAGGCGAAAAAGAGAGGAAATGGTGGTTTATGCCGGTCATTTGATGATTAAACATCATTCTTCCAAAATATTCGTAATTTTGCTGTTGATGTTATGCTATTGCTGCTATGCGCAGTTGAGTCATCGTCATTTGTCACTTTACGGAAAAATTGAATATCGATAAGATGGATTTTCATCTTGTAGCACGCTTTCTTAATATTTCGAATTTATTCATTTATAAGATTTTAGGCAAAAACCAGTTAAATTTTAATTTTCGCTCTCAAATCATTTAAATGTCGTTTGCTTTATCATTGTAGATGATTACTGGATTGTTGTTTAATATGATTGGTAATTTGTGAGAAAAAAAAAACTTTTCAGAATTGTAGGCTGAACATTACGTGATAAACAAGATAAATGTTATTTACTCTAGTTACCTTAAGTTGTATTTTTTTTTACAAACTTACCGGTTATTTGATCGCTCTATGACATCGTAAGTTGTCGTCAACATTACCACAACCAAAATCCCATGACGTGGTACTTCGGTATCCTACGGGGATCTTTGTAAAACTGCAAAATGGAGTAAATAACACAAGTAGATCAGTGGTGCTGTGGGTGTGACCATTATCAAAATCAACGACAATTCACCATCTGACCGATCAGAGTTGGCAGTTTAGTGTTTGAATCAGTGCACGTTATCGGTGATGCTGATCAGTGGGAGTTTAACAAGGAATCTTGTGCATGTTCCTTCTCTTCATTTTTGGTTATCTCCTGGTATGGGCATGTCTATCTGATTATCTTCTCAACTGTCATAATATTTTGAGTTTTGTGCTTTCAGTTTCTTGTCTTTTTATACTTAAAAAAAATTTTGGAATGTTTTTAAGACTTGTTTTATTTCACTTTTAATTGTTATTTACAATTTCCCTTCCTCATTTTTTTTTTCTTTTTTGTTTTTCGATACCATTCATATTTATAGCAGAGATATTGCACTGAAATAATAGACAATCATTTGTTTCCTCGTCATTATTATCACAATTGTTATGATCATAATTTATTGTAAACAATGATGTTCGTACAACTCTTTACCATATAGTAATCACTATGATAATGATGATCACGATGATGATGGTCGTCATCATCTTCATCATCATGATCGTTATCAACAGTTATCAGTGATTACTTAACAGCGGGATCATTTGAAGCATCAGAATTTGTGTTGAGGAGGAGATAGATATAGTGTTGATTAATGAATCTGAGATTTTTGCATTTCCATTTTCAAAATGTCTTCTCCTCCTTCCTCCTTTCCTCCCTTTTTCCTCCATTTGCCTTCATTTCATCCTTTCCCCTGTGTCCCTCTATCAACTGCAGCATTGAAAATGTAACAAACAGGCTGTGGTATCAGATCAAATTGTCGTTATAGATGATCGCTCTGATCGGTTTGTACAGAGAGAAGTGATACGAGGGAAGAGGGAATTATATGTAGACGGGGTAATAAGGGGACAGTAGGAAAAAGGGAGGTTTAGAATGGGATGGATGACAAGTAGATGAATGAATGAATGGATGGATGGTTGGATGGTTGGATGAATTTTGTACGATGATACATTGCAGTTAGTTATCTAGTACTAGTTATCATATCGTACCATATCATATCACATCACATCACATCACATATCGTATATGTACGATATTTCAACACTTTGCCTTTCTCAACATCTTTTACATTCTTATCTCATTTCGAAAAGTTTCATTTCACCTTATGCATTAAAGCAATATTAAGAAATTCAATTTCATTTCCACTCTATTTTCTTTCAGTTCTAAATTACATAATTGTCACCGTATTCAGTATGTATCACCATATTATTATCCTTAATCATCCAGCAGCTTATGGCATCATTTCATCCTTTATCACCCATTCATTTCATTTTTAAAATGATTGAACGATTGAGATTCTTTGTATTAACTTGCAAACGAATATTTTTCATTTTAAAATATGCTTTTATAATTTTATCACGATATCACGAGATAATATATGATATTACTCGTATTGCTACTTGCATTTTGATCACAAAAATGAAAAATCTATTAAATGAATATCGTGGTTTAATTTTTCATATTGCTAGCATTAAGTTAGTCTATTTAATTGATCATTTAAATTTGATGAAATCCATCAATTCTAACAAACAAATTTTCTTTTTTAACTGAGAAAAAAGTTTGTCGCTTTCATTAATTTTTACCTTAACAAAATGTGCTATAATTCACTGCTTTCAATGCACAATTTAATGAAATTATTCATGTCAAATTTAAATAAATTAACCTCAAAAAGATCGGTAAAATCCATTTCATAGTGACGGACAGACGGTATCGCAAATGTTTTATGAATGCTTTTTTTTTTTTCCTTTCCTATTGCAATGTGGTAGGAAAGAAAAGAAAAATAATCATTTTTTCTTTTTTTTTTTGAAGTAATTATTTTGAGCCGTAATTTGGTCATTTTTTCAAGTGATTGTTCTACAAAAATTTTTTTCCTCTAAAATTACTTTCAAGGTAATTCCTTCTAAAATTTATATCTCTTTAGGGAAGCACTTAATTAGAACTGAATCACTTCAGTTCGAAACTGTTGAAAATGATTCCACATCATTTTTATTTCAATTTCATTTGTTTTTTCAAAATAGCTGAAATATTAATGAAATTATAGCTGTAATTTTTGAGTTATCTATCTCTACTTCCAGCAATAAATTCATCATTTTTGTTATTCCTTTCCTAACGCATTTCAAATACTCTTGAGGGAACTGTTCAATTAAATTGATGTTACGAGATTCTTAATTCATATTCATTAAGCATTTAAATGCATGAATTTGCTTCATAATAGTATCTCATTAAAAAACTTCCTTCTTATAAGTTAAACCAAGATTTTTTTTTGCACTATCATTTCTACAAATTTAATGTAGTGAAAAATTTAGGAAAGAATTTTACAAAAAAAAAAAAAAAAAAAATCGGAATTATATTTTCAAATAATATTATGGCATTAATATGATAAGCATAATGAACCATAAATGTCCTGAAATGGCTTAAAATTTCATTGAATTACTTAAATTACTTACAATTACAATTAAGATTGATGAGACATCAATGCTACAAAAGGGAATTAATTACACACAAATAACAAGCGTATTTTTCAATTCCATAAAAAATTTTGGCAAGAAATACTAATAAGAAGCATAAATAAGAATGGAAAATGATGTTAAGATAAGTATTAAATATAAAAATGATAAAAAAAAAAGTTGCAGTTCTTAAGATTTGTTGTTATTGAAAATTTTCCATTTCTTTTTGTTTTAATGTTTAGAAACACTGATACATTAGCAAAACTAGGAATAGAAGGAGAGAAAAATTGTGATTTATAAAAAATTTGCAGGAATAATAAAAATTTTAATGAATATGATATAATATGAAGTATATTTGTATTATAAATATGATAAATAATGATATGTATTGTATTAATAATGAGTTGTGTTGTTGTTTAGGATAAAATTTGATATTAAAAAAAAAAAAAAAAAAAAAAAAAGTTTACTAAAAAAAACTTCAACATTAGATATTCAAGCTGTAACTTCAAAATTATTTCAAATTTTTAGGACCTATTAATAAATCACTATTATAAATATATGCATATGATATCGTAAAAGTTAATCTTGAAATTTTTCTTTTTTTTGTTTCAGTGCAAGGAAAAATAAAAATAATATTTCAGCTATCTTTTGTATTATTAAAGAAAAGAAAAAAAAAACTTATAAATGCTTCTTGTTGATTGGTTTAATTTTAATTAAAAGCTTATAAAAGCTTTTTTTTTTTCTTTTTTCAAGTGGAAGAGGAATATGAAAAAAGATGAGGGAAGCAATTTTATCTATTTTTTTACTTTTTTTTGCAAATTTTATTATTTATTTTACTTTATTCATAGCTAGCTAGTCCAGTATGTATCAAAAACATATATTTCTAGTTATCGGTCAATTACATTTCGTCTTTGGAATAGAAATTATTAATGAATATTCTCTTCCGTTCTTTTTTATTTATTTATTTTTTATTATCACCAATAGAGAAAAGATAAGGGATGTAAAAAAAGAAGGAGAGAGACAGAGGGAGAGGGAGAGAGAAGAAAAAAGTTTGCCAAATAAGCGAAAAGATGATTGAAAATTGATCATTGATCATTTCGATGATCATTTGACTAGGAACGAATCATCAATTTGGTTGATAATTTTGCATTAAATAATTCTTGTGATAGCATTTGATGAATTTTTTGCCCCACTAATCTTTAATAATACTTTAATTCTCTCAGAATTCTTACTTTTTACTTTTACCTTTGCCCTTTTTACCCTGCTGCTTCATCATATGCTGAAATGTTTGGGAAAGATAATCATCAGTATTAAAAAAGAAAATTTTAGGTATCTTGATAAATTAAGAAATTCAAGTACTGTTTTTTTTCATCCGATTATGCATTCTTTTTTAACTGCATTTACATAGATTTTTTCTTTCCTTTTTTTTTTTTTTTGTTAAATGCATTTTTCCGCTCCATTTTTTTTTTTCTTCAATTTGGCGCAAAGTTAAAATGAGGTAGAAAATGCTATATTAGATGCTGTAATAATTCTTCAACTTTCCCACTTATTTTTTGCTTTTGAAATGAATGTTGAATTTATATTGCAAAGAAAAGAAAAGAAAAAGAATAAAAAACATTTCAATTATATGAATTTGTGAGCTTTTGTAAACAACTAAAAAACCGAAATTAATTAAATCACTTTGTAAAATACATCTAAAAAAAATAATTCATGAAATATGATTGTCGTTTTTTTTCTCGTGTCATTTCTTAATTTCAGTCAAATAAATTACCTACAAAAAAAAAAAAAAAAAAAAAAAAAAAAAAAGAAAAAAAATTTGATAGGATGAAGTGAAAAAATTGCATTTTTTGATGATAATAATAGTAGTGATAAATAGAGATTGAATGTTTAATATTTAATTATCAAATTTAAATATCATTTATATATATATATATATATATAAACTCGGTATGTTCTAAATATTTGAGTTATTGGTTGAGGGTCGAGGGGCAGGCGCGTTTTAGCATAGAGTTATTGTGTTGACATTTCATCGGAATGGAGGAGCATAGCCCTACAATCATCATCATCATCATTATCATCATCATCTTCATCAGCTGAACCATCATCATCACTACCATCAGCAAATGCTACGATCATCACCAAACATTTACGAGAATTGAAGCGGCTGAAGTACACCAGCGTATCATCCTTCTTCTTCTACCACAAAGCTAACAAATGCCACCCCGGAAGAACGCCAGAAACATTAACGTCCATTCTTTACAAATGTACCTTTATGCGACAACACTTTTTTCAATTTTTTTGATTAGTTAAGATTTAATTAATAAACGATGATAGAAATGTGAAATATGTGAGTTAAGAAGGAGGGATATCAAGGTCATCTTGAATCATTTACATGATTTATTCATTCTACTAACTTATTTATTCATTTAATGTCATCTCTTTCTTTTTTTTTTTTTTTTTTTTTTTTTATCCATTTACTATCACTATTCACGAATATCATCTAATACTTACCTAAACTTCATCATATTGTATCTTTTTTTTTTTTTTTAAATTAATTTTCAAAAAAATATTGTTACTTTAAAAATAGCGAATTTTTTTTCATGATTTTTGATATTTCTACCAAATCACAAGTTATTTCATTTCATTTATTGTTAATTATGAAGAATTCTTGAGTTATTATGCTCTATTTTATAGCATGTAAACAAATTTTAATACTTGTTTGTAGCTGGTATTTATCAAAATGATTGCAGTGCTTGCAGTAACTAGCTTTTATCATTTTGTATTTATGCTACCGAATAGTATACCGCAAAAATTTTTTATTGTTAAATTCAATTTTAAATCGTCACAAAATGGATAATTTTTTTCTTTTGTCTTCCTCGTATACCACACACTTTTAAGATTGATTGATGGAAACTAATTAACTAATAGAATCAAACCTGATCATATTTTAAATTGTTTATATTTTAATAGGTTAATTTTGGAAATATTATGGAATCATTTTGGTAGCATACAACAGTTGGTATGAGAAAAAGGAATAAATGTGTTAACGTTTTAATAAGAGAAAAAAAAG